GCTTCTATTAGAAATAATAATAATGATGATGAAACTAATAATAATTATGATGACGATGCTGATACTACTACTGCTACTGCTAGTTTTTCGTTTGCAGAACATTTTACAGATTGCAAAGCTTTTTCAGGTACATTTTCTCACTGATCTCATTTACCTCGTGAAATTGTTAGAGCAAGTATTATGATCCCCAAGGTACATGTGAGGTCACTTGTTGAAGGTCACATAGCTAAAGAGAGGTTAAATTAGTTTCCCTTTTCAGGAGGTGCCCTTTCTACTGTGTTCTGCTGCTTAAAAAAATAAATGAACAATGCATTGAAAACAACTGATAACATTGCTTCAAACTGTTTCCCTCCACTGGGAGAGAGTTAATTCTTCACTTCTATCATCCTTTGGAATAAAATTCCTAGCAAAAACGGCAACTCATACAGATGGCACAAGTAGAGCACAGAGGTTGTATTAGTCATTTCAGAATAAAAAACTCTTAGGGGCATTCTGGAAGCTCCTCTTTTCCTCTCTATTCTTCTACAAGATAAATGGAAAACTTAGAGATTATTTATGCAACAAAGAAAAGAATGCTAATAAACCAGACTGTGTATATGTGTTTTTAAATTATTATGACAAAGAGTCAGTCTATATTTGTACACAAACATTCATACATGGCTACAAAACCAAACATTTTTCAATTTAATCTTTTTAAACTATTTAAATATCCTGTCTTCTTACAATTACCTTGATTGACTAGGTGGTGAATTTTGTTGTAGTCATTGCAATGATATAAAAATTCCAGACCCAGACATTATTTTTTATCATACTACAAAATTATTTTAAATTGCAGTATCTAACTTTAGGAAACCAAGTGTTAACACATATTTAATCTCAAAATGACAATTATAAAATAATCATGAAACCCAAAGTCACCAATATTTGTTCAAGGTATCATGATGAGGCTTAACGGAAACACAGTGGAGGTATGCTAGCACTGTTGAAGCCAATAGAAATGGAAGTTATATGGATTAAAAAAGAATTTGCCTATTTGAAATGGTCTTTTACTAATACCAAGGCTGCAACTTAGTGTATTTGGATAAGCGATGATGACCTGGTTTTACAAACACAGATTATTCAACTACAAAGTAGGCAGAAGTCTGGCGTCATCCTAGAAGGTCAGAGCTTCAGGCATTTGGGAAAAAAAGAATAAAACTCTGTGGCCCAGAGAGATGAACAATGTGGAAACGCTGAAGTCATTGCAATGTTATTTATCTCTTTTTTTCTGAGTGTGATTTCTAATCTCAAAGGGTTTTTTGTTGTTGTTGTTGTTGTTTACTTTCTTTTGTTCTTTCTTTCTCTCTCTTTTTTCCCCCCAATATTGAAAGTTAAAAAACCAAAAACCTTTCCACTTTCTCCTATCTCCCTCAGAATGTAAACTCTGAAAGATCAGGACTTGCTATTGCATGCTTTTTATCCCAACATGGATTTCAATATTCTATAAATCATGAACTCTTTAAAAAATGCTAACATTTAGTGAGTAAATTCGACTGACTCACAGTTTGTTTCAACAGAATAAGCATTTACTGAATCTCTATTATGCACAAGGCACTGGACCAAGTGCTAGGGAGACTACTACAAGGGTGATAAATGAGCACATAAGAAATAAAAAATTATGAAACTTACTATTTCTCCGTTTTTGCCCATCTGCCAAGAAACTCAAAGGTAAATTTGTTGTTCAATTGCAATAACTTTTCGGACTAGATTTTCTGTAACAACTCTCTTTAATTTTGATGACTCATTTTTTTAGCCTTTTTAGAATTGGGAAAAATATATGTAACATATTAAATAAATTGCTCTAACTTGGGATAAAGTGAGTTAAGTATCACAAGACAAATAGTAACAGAGCGCACTGAAGATTTACAGGAAGAAAGGATTGTACAGAAGAGGCAGTTGGTAAATTTCCAGGAAAAGGTTATTCCAGGCTAAGGGGGAAAAATGGGCAAAGAAACAGAGATGGGAATGTGTAAGATACTTGGGGGAAAACAGTTCAGATACAAGAAGGTAGAAACAGGAGATGGGCTGTTTCCTCCATTAATTCTAAACTAAAAAAAAAAAAAAAGAACCCTCCTTTACTAGGAATCATACTGGTATGTTGTTCACATATGTCAATGTACCAATAAGCAGGATTACAGTGTGTTCATCTTATTCATGAGACCAGGGACTGGGGATAACACGACTCTGTAATTTCAGCACAGACATAACAAGTAACAATAAATCATGAAGAATGAATGAATATGTTTCATCCAGTGGGCTCTCAATAAATGTTATGATTGTGGTCAGTCACATTGGTTACTCAGCTTATAGGGCATTTTTGTTTTATGAATACTTAAAATATTATAATGCCCCTGTATTGCCTCCCTTCTCTATTGAGCTCAAAGCAATTATTCTTTGAGAGCCAGGATTTGTCTTTTACACTTTAAAGATGAAAGGACTGAAGAATTAGGCGAAAAATGTCCTGTATAAGGATCACGGAACTCAAAGGGCAAAAGCTGGGGACAAGAAAGCAGTGCCCATCATATGTGCAAGGGAAGTACAAAGTAGAACCTGCGGGTTCATGCTGGATGATCAAAATCAGAAGAGCTAATCAAGGGAGAGAGTGTCAGACTAGATCTAGAGTTAATCACCAAATTCCCTGTTGCCCATATGGCAAATTAAGATCGTTTTTAGAAGTACTGTGATCAAGAGCAAAGAGTGCTCAATAATACTGGAAACAAGGTAGTGGACTAACATGAAGTTGTCTAGTCAGCTTTGTATGGTTGCTCAGTTGCTGTAGTCCTGTTTTTCAATCTGCAAGTTGCAATCCATTAGTTAGTCATTGAATTTGTCTGTTACTGTTGCTTGTAACAAATTACACAGAACTGGGTGACTTACAAGAAAAACGAAATTTATTACTTACAGTTTCTGAGGTTAGGAAGTCCAAAGTACAGGGAACACAGCTGCTGAAGGTCTTGGTGGTGGTGACAGTGACCCCTCACATTACAAGATAGTGGAAGCGGAGAGCAGAGATAGAGAGAGACACGGGCACGACTCTCTCTTCTTTTAAAGCCCTCAGAACCACGCCCTTGACCACCATTTTTAATCCATTCACTACAGCACGGTCCTACAATGCAATCACCTCTTCCTTTCAATTACCGTAATAGGATTTCCCATCCTCTTAACAGTCACAGTGGGGACTAAGTTTCTAATACATAAAACTTGGAGGAAACAATTCAAGCTTCAGTGAGTTTTGGGGGGACATAATTCAATCGACTATAATCATGAAATCAATTTAGAGAGTCACCACCAGCACTTTAAAACATGAAATGTAATACGTAAATACATGTGTATCTATGTACATCACTTAGTATTGTTTCATAACACTTTTAGTTTATATCAGATATAAATGATAGATCTGCAACATAACCAGTGCCACTTTAGACAAGCCCAAGTACAAAACGGCGCCATCCACCTCCTCCCCGCCCCTCCCCTCCCCCGTTCTCTCTTACAAAAAGCCTCATGGTTTTGGAGAAAAAAAACTTTCGGCGTTTTCGCATGGACAGAACTCTCCATTCTCATGACCTAACTCAATCCCCTTCCCCAGAATTACATCACCCAGCTCTTGGCGCGAACATACCAATATAAGCTCTACCACCTCTACACCTTGTGCTGTCCCCATTTTCAGGGCAGCCCCGGGCTGTCCTCCATTTTGAGTATAGCCCAGCAGATTTCTTTCTTTAATAAAGCTTGAATGGTACCTGGTATCTCGGCTCACTTTCTTTCAATAGATATATAAATGTATATTCTGGGTCAGATAGCAAAGCCCCAGCCCCAGTTATAAAAAGTTTGAAAGCCACTGCTGTATTCTCCCCCCTTGGAAAGTTAGGCTTGGAGTCGACAGGACTGAGGATCCAAAATGGAGCTTAACCAAGAATTTCAATAAAATTTAAATTGTGGCTCCAAAGATTATATAGCAATTTATTGCTTTGAGAGGGCACATGTGCCATATTTATGGTATTTCTGTAGCAAATATGGTAAGAGTTTATGAACGTGGGTAAGAATTAATGCACAGTTATTCTAATGTTTAATGCTAACTACTATAAACGTTTTAGATCAGTGGTTCCCAACTTTTTAGTCTCAAGACCCTTTTGCACTCTTAAAAAGTATTAAAGACTCCCTCAAAGAACTTTTACGTATGTCATATGTATCTGTATTTACTGTATAAATAGTAAAACCGTGCTCTGTGGAAATAAAAATAAAAACACTTATTCAGCTCACAGCTCAGGCACCTGAGTGTCTTCCTGGAGACAGATGCGGCAGGTGGGCACGGCAGACGTGCTGTGTGCAGACTTCCTACCTTTTCAGTGAAGAACACGTGGACTGGTAGCTTTGTTGCCCTCGCCTGATTCACCCTAAGCCACCAGCAATTTAACCTATCACTGTTTTTCCATCACTGGTGCAAATGTCACCACGTGAACGAGTCAAATAACTCTTAGAGTTGTCATGAAAATTGTTTTGGCCTTGCACCCCTGAAAGGTTCTCAGGAACCCCCAAAGCGTTCGAGGGCCACCCTTTGAGAACCTCTGGACTTTAGCTCATTCAGAATCACAGTCTCTTCCTCCTGTTAATGCTTGGGGCTTGTTTGTTGTTACAGGTTTGATCACTGAAGCGCCAAAGAAAAGACGTTCCAAGGCATCGAACACGTCCAAGAGGGAAATCCGACCCCACATTCAGCTCCAAGGCTCTAATAAGAAGAAATTAGCTCTTGGAGAAGGAAAAAACCCGGATTCAGAGGGCCGGCCTGGGCTTGTCATTGCCAGTGGCAACGATCCTGCGCGGGAAGGACGCGGCCGTCGATTAGTGATGCCTGGCGTCCGGCGGGAGGGGCGGGGCCTGGCGTCCGGCGGGAGGGGCGGGGCCTGGCGTCCGGTGGGAGGGGCGGGGCCTGCCGCCGGAAGGCCGCCCGTTCGCCGCGGGGTGCCGGTTGCGAGGTGGCTCGCTCGTTCTGCGATCTATTGAGAGTGGCTTCTGAGAGCCCACTGTTGGTGTCGGGCGGGAGGGAAGATGGCGGCGGGCGGCCTGGTGGGGAAGGGGCGCGACATCAGCCTAGCGGCCCTGCGGCGCCACGACCCGTATATCAACAGCATCGTGGACGTGGCCAGCCAGGTGGCTCTGTACACTTTCGGCCATCGGGCCAACGAGTGGGTGCGTGGGGACGCGACGGGGGAGGGGACGGGGGGTCGTCAGACTCGGGCCTCTAGAACCCGGTGATGGGGAGGAGACGCTGGCGCCTGGAGGTGGATGGTGGTGCAGCGGGGGCCTGAGGCCGAAGTCGGGGAGCTGGACCCGGGGGTGTGGGGGGTGGGGGAAGGGAGGCTGATCTGTGAAACCAGCTGCAGACGGGGGCAAGACTTAGAAGTCTAAGGTAGCCCACGTTAGGAGACCAGAACGATGGGGGTCCCGTCTGTAGAGGAGGCAGGGGTAGGGGACGAATGTAAGAGGAGAGTTCTGGTTCTGGAACGTCCTTCAGTCTTAGATGGGGCAAACTTTGACAGAAGGAGATGAATCTCAAGTTGTAAACTCAGGGAAAACACTAGAAAAAGAGCAAACATCGGGAAATAACGGATGAAATGGGGCTGGATCTCACGCTTAGAAGGCTGACGTTCTTGGGAAGATTACACCCCAGCCCACCAAGTTTGATATTGGAGTCCAACTGGGAGCTGAGTTATTTTAGTGCTCTTCTCAAAGCAGAGCCCAAGTGAAATAGTATTGAATGAAATGTAATTTTCCTCACAACTGGATTGGGGTAGGCGCATAAGACACTTCAGTCCTATTGCAGGAATTGCTGCATGTGATTTTGCAACCCATCCACTTGAATGTAGAGACATGTAACTTTTTCTCTTTCCTCGTAGTGATTTTTGTCCCAAATATTCATCAGTCCGTTATGTAACCATCCATTCATTATCTTTAGATAAGTTACAAGACAGTATAAAGAATTTAGCCTGGATGAATGGATTTCAGATAAATTTTTTGATCTGTACTCTGAGTCAGTAACAGCATTTAAGCAAGGAAAACATCCATATCGAACAAACCCATATGTTTTTTAACACTCACATTCATAAACCTACTTATCTCCAGTAAGGATCTTGAGCAGGCTGTAATAAAAACTGGCCTGAAAATCATTAAAACAAAAATTAAAAAATAAAGAAGCAAAAAGGAGAGAACAGTTTTGAAACTTAGTTTCCAAAGTTCTTAACTAGGAAATTTATTGAAATGGAGCAAAGAATCTAGGTCTGCTCTCCTATTAGCCAAAACCAAAAAGAAAACAGGGAAAGTTCTTTAACATTCATTGTTCTGAAATATTTTGGAAGTATACCTCTTGATCAAGAGAAAGGTTATTTCCCCCTAGCTTCAAGGGGAATTTATCACCTGGGTCTGTATATAAAGGACATTGATCAACACAGTAGACAATTTCCTCCATGGTAATTAAAAAAACATATAAAGATATACTACATATGGCTGTTTTACTGCTCTATAGAAAAATGCCAAAGATCACAATTCTGAAAAGGTAATTCTGTAGTAAAGAGATAAGGTCCAGGAATGCATAGTTCTGTAAATTGACTTGCCACTAGGATTAGAGTCTGGAGAATCCTGAGAAATTGTTGAAGTAGGAGTATTTATCTTGAACAACAATTGTTTCCTGTAGGCTTTTGACAGTTATCTGTGTGATAGATACTTTTAAAAATAGTTACAGAGGTTTTTTTAGATAGCCAGTGAAGCCCATCAACAAAAGCCTCATCAAAAGGCAGAAGTGTCACAATGCATTATTTACAGGAGTTATGTTTTCCTGCTTCCTGGACTTGTTGCTTTCAGACAGGGCATAATTCATTCAGTAAAAGGTCATCCTTTCAAAGTTCTAATCTTCAAGGCTGCCAGAAAAAAGAGAGAAACCTAGTTCAGCTGCAGAGGAGTTGCTGGGGGTAAACAAATTGTCCCCACTGCCTCCATATGCCATCACTCAGGGTCTCTGGATGGGAGCCTTTTGAATGTAAACACAGTAAAAGTATCAAGAACATTCTTGAGAATGTAGGAGAAAGTACTTTCAAGGAGGCAGGAGGGACGTAAAAGAGGGGAATTCTAATTACATTGGAAATAGATGAAGAATGATTTCAGGCATTCAGAGGAAGAGATACTAGGAATGAAGGGTAGACGGAGAATGATTTAAAGAAAGATTAAGAAAGATTATGTCATGACTAGAGTAGGAATTTTAGAGCTAGACCTACTTACTCTCCACTGTCAGGAAAAACTGCTTCCCCTAAATACCTGTGTGTTAAATGAATGCTATAACCCTGGTATTACTTTTTACCTCCTCAGTCCTTAGAGCAGTGGCTCTCAGCTGAAGTTGGTTTTGCCCCCAGGTGACATTTGGCAAGTGTGTGGAGACATTTTTGGTTGTTACTTAGGAGAAGAGTGTTGCTGGCATCTACAGTGCAGAGGTCAGGGATGCTGATAAACATCCTACGATGCAAAGGACAGACACCACGACAAAGATCTGTCTGGCTCACAGTGTCAAAAATGCTGAGCTTGAGAAACTACTTTAGTGTGGCTCGTGTTTCTAGGTGGTGGTTTTCTAAGTTTTCTGTGTGTTAGAATAACTTGGAGTATGTAAAAGTGCAGCTCACAGAATCAAAACCTCTGGATAATAGATAACTGTTGAAAGCTTCATGACTCAGAAGCTACATGCATGATGGAGAGAGAGATTTGAGGGGGATAAATTGAGACCTACTTTTTCATTATTATTATTCATTTGAAAAATCAGTAAAATACAGGTTACTTTGAGTTGTTTCAAAAATGTCAAACTACTGAGTCCAAATAATTTTCAAAACAGCACTATTTTATATTCCATTTTATTTTTTATTGCTTTGAATTTTGAACTGCTTATTTTTTAGCAGTTATTAGATTTTATAATAGGATATAATATTAAATTGTTAAATTGTACTTTTAAAATATAAGCTAAAATACCCCAGAACTATGAACTAGTACTTTAACATAAAAGTCTCCTTACTTGGAGGATCTGAGGCACAAACATCTAATTAAATCTTGTTTTAATTATTCCCCACACCTCCAACCCTGCACTTTGCTCAGAAAGAAAAAAAAAAAAATCTGGTTGCCCCTGGATAACTGGAGGGAACAGGAAAATGCATAAGTTTGACCTGGTTCAACCAAAATAGAAATAGCAATAGAAATTTACATTTTCTAAGCCCCTTTTATCTAGGTATCATAGAGCACTTAAAAATATGGCTTTTTTTCATTGCAAGATCCGAGTGGTGTAGGCTTGTTATCTCTTTTCAGTGGAGACACTGAGACATAGAATAATAAACTAATTAGCACAGTATGATCTGGCAAGAACCCCACTCCAGGCCCTATATTGTACTTACTGAAACATAATTCCTTTCTGTAAACAAACTCAGTTTTTGTGTGTAATGCTCAATAAAAATCTGTTTTAAGAATTACTTGTTATAAGTTAGAGAATATTCCAGGAGAAACATGCCTTTTACATTTCTGATTCTGGATTTTTTAGAAGTAAAATGTGGAGTTAAAATTTTTTTTTTTTTTTTTTTTTTT